GAGGGGGCTTCCCTGGCGGCGCAGTGGTTAAGAATCCACTTGCCAGTGCAGGGGATGCAGGTCTGTGCCCTGGTCCGGGAAGATCCCACATGCCGCAGAGCAACTAAGCCTGTGCACCACAACTACTGAGCCTGCGCTCTAGAACCCACGAGCCACAACTACTGAGCCTGCGTGCCACAACTACGGAAGCCCAGGCACCTAGAGCCCATGCTCCGCAACAAGAGAAGCCACCGCAATGAGAAGCCCACACACCACAACAAAGAGTAGCCCCCGCTCGCCACAACTAGAGAAAGCCTGCGTGCAGCAATGAAGACCCAACATAACCAAAAATAAATAAATAAAATAAATAAATTTATAGAAAAGAAAAAGAGGGAGAGGACTCAAATCAACTAAAATTAGAAATGAAAAAGGAGAAGTTACAACAGACACCGCAGAAATACAAAGCATCCTAAGAGACTGCTACAGGCAACTCTATGCCAATAAATCGGACAACCTGGAAGAAATGGACAAATTCTTAGAAAGGTATAACTGTCCAAGACTGAACCAGGAAGAAACAGAAAATATGAACAGACCGATCACAAGTAATGAAATTGAAACTGTGATTAAAAATCTTCCAACAAACTGTGATTAAAAATCTTCCAACAAACTGTTATTAAAAATCTTCCAACAAACAAAGCCATGACCAGATGGCTTCACAGGTGAATTCTGTCAAACATTTAGAGAAGAGCTAACACCCATCCTTCTCAAACTCTTCCAAAAAATTGCAGAGGATGGAACACTCCCAAACTCGTTCTATGAGGCCATCATTACCCTGTTACCAAAACCAGACAAAGATACTACAAAAAAAGAAAATTACAGACCAGTATCACTGATGAATATAGATGCAAAAATCCTCAACAAAATACTAGCAAACAGAATCCAACAATACATTAAAAGGATCATACACCATGATCAAGTGGGATTTATCCCAGGGATGCAAGGATTCTTCAATATACACAAATCAATCAATGTGATACACCATATTAACAAATTGAAAAACAAAAACCATACGATCATTTCAATAGATGCAGAAAAAGCTTTTGACAAAATTCAACACCCGTTTATGATAAAAACTCTCCAGAAAGTAGGCATAGAGGGAACCTACCTCAACATAATAAAGGCCATATATGACAAACTCAGAGCAAATATCGTTCTCAATGGTGAAAAACTGAAAGCATTTCCTCTAAGATCAGGAACAAGACTATGTTCACTCTCACCACTCTTATTCAACATAGCTTTGGAAGTCCTAGCCATGGCAATCAGAGAAGAAAAAGAAATAAAAGGAATACAAATTGGAAAAGAAGAAATAAAACTGTCACTGTTTGCAGATGACATGATACTGTACATAGAGAATCCTTAAAATGCCACCAGAAAACTACTAGAGCTAATCAATGAATTTGGTAAAGTTGCAGGATACAAAATTAATGCACAGAAATCTCTTGCATTCCTATGCACTAATGATGAAAAGTCTGAAAGAGAAATTAAGGAAACACTCCCATTTACCATTGCAACAAAAAGAATAAAATACCTAGGAATAAACCTACCTAGGGAGACAAAAAACCTGTATGCAGAAAACTCTAAGACACTGATGAAAGAAATTAAAGATGATACCAACAGATGGAGAGATATACCATGTTCTTGGATTGGAAGAATCAATATTGTGAAAATAACTCTACTACCCAAAGCAATCTACAGATTCAGTGTAATCCCTATCAAACTACCAATGGCATTTTTTACAGAACTAGAACAAAAAATCTTAAAATTTGAATGGAAACACAAAAGACCCCAAATAGCCAAAGCAGTCTTGAGGGCAAAACACGGAGCTGGAGGAATCAGACTCTCTGACTTCAGACTATACTACAAAGCTACAGTAATCAAGACAATATGGTACTGGCACAAAAACAGAAATATAGATCAATGGAACAAGACAGAAAGCCCAGAGATAAACCCACGCACCTATGGTCAACTAATATATGACAAAGGAGGCAAGGATATATATACAATGGAGAAAAGACAGTCACTTCAATAAGTGGTGCTGGGAAAACTGGACAGCTACATGTAAAAGAATGAAATTAGGACACTCCCTAATCCATACACAAAAATAAACTCAAAATGGGTTTGTGACCTAAATGTAAGACCAGACACTATAAAACTCTTAGAGGAAAACATAAGAAGAACACTCTTTGACATAAATCACAGCAAGATCTTTTTTGATCCACCTCCTAGAGTAATGGAAATAAAAACAAAGATAAACACATGGGACCTAACGAAACTTCAAAGCTTTTGCACAGCAAAGGAAACCATAAACAAGATGAAAAAACAACCCTCAGAATGGGAGAAAATATTTGCAAACGAATCAACGGACAAAGGATTAATCTCCAAAATATATAAACAGCTAATGCAGCTCAATATTAAAGAAACAACCCAATCCAAAAATGGGCAGAAGACCTAAATAGACATTTCTCCAAAGAAGACATACAGATGGCCAAGAAGCACACGAAAAGCTGCTCAACATCACTAATTATTAGAGAAATGCAAATCAAAACTACAATGAGGTATCACCTCACACCAGTTAGAATGGGCATCATCAGAAAATCTACAAACAACAAATGCTGAAGAGGGTGTGGAGAAAAGGGAACCCTCTTTCACTGTTGGTGGGAATGTAAATTGATACAGCCACTATGGAGAACAGTGTGGAGTTTCCTTAAAAAACTAAAACTAGAATTACCATATGATCCAGCAATCCCACTACTGGGCATATACCCAGAGAAAACCGTAATTCAAAAAGACACATGCACCCCAATGTTCACTGCAGCACTATTTACAATAGCCAGGTCATGGAAGCAACCTAAATGCCCATCCACAGACGAATGGATAAAGAAGTTGTGGTGGGCTTCCCTGGTGGCGCAGTGGTTGAGAGTCCGCCTGCCGATGCAGGGGACATGGGTTCGTGCCCCAGTCTGGGAAGATACCACATGCCGTGGACCACTGGCCTCAGAAATCCCTCCATCTGTCGCAGAAGCTTTCTCCATGCCTTCCTGGCAGTCATTTCAATTTCCGCGTCCCGCAAAAAAAAAAAAAAAAGAAGTTGTGGTACATATTTACAATGGAATATTACTCAGCCATAAAAAGGAACGAAATTGAGACATTCGTTGAGATGTGGATGGATCTAGAGACTGTCATACAGAGTGAAGTAAGTCAGAAAGAGAAAAACAAATATCGTATACTAACGCATGTATGTGGAACCTAGAAAAATGGTACAGATGAACCGGTTTACAGGGCAGAAGTTGAGACACAGATGTAGAGAACAAACGTATGGACACCAAGGGGGAAAAGCCACAGGGGGGTGGGGATGGTGGTGTGCTGAATTGGGTGGTTGGGATTGACAGGTATATACTGATGTGTATAAAACTGATGACTAATAAGAACCTGCTGTATAAAAAAATAAATTAAATTAAATTAAAAATTACAAAAAAACACAACACACACAACTTATAAAAAAAATTAAAAAAATAAAAAAAAAAAGATCATTCCAGCTACTTGCGCTGGGTGGTGGAGTGGAAGGTAGTGAGAAGAGCTGGACAGGAGGAGGAGTGATCCCCCAGAACCGAGCCTCCCCACTTAGCTGTGCTGGGAACTGAGGGCTGTCCGCTGCACTCGTGCACCTGGCCCCAGGGGACGGCTGGCTGTCTCTTACCAGAGGTCATTCTGCAGGCAGCTCACCCCTCCTTCCTGGTTACCAGTGGTTAGACCCTTTTCTGAACCAGGAGGAGGTGACAGGATAGCAGACAGTAGAAGAAGCCTGGGCTTTGGTGGTGGAAAGGAAGGCCCTGTAAGTAGACAGCACTGCATTGAGTGCACAGCTGCATTGCTACGCAATACGCATTTTGCCCTATTGTGCAGGCTTTTAGGGCCGGAGCCCCTGTTAGCTTCTGGGGACTGAGCGGTTGACAGGAGCCTCCAGGGAGGCTGCTGCCCAGGGCTCTGGCATCTTTCTGAGTCTGCCCTTCACCTGGGAGAGCCTGCTGGTCCAAGGCTTGCTGGCCCCTGAGGGATGGACGGTGTGAGGAGTGTCCTTGGCCCGCAAGCTCAGCTCCCTTGGTCCTCTGAGCGCAGCTCCTTGGCACCAGGGCTGCCAGGGCTCCACCCCCACCAGCTGCTGCGTTATTTCTGACTCATCCAGGAGTTACAAGTGTGTAACCCAAACCCCTCCACGCCCGGCTTCCTCCCCCCCAGCTCCTCCTGGAGGGAGGAAACCCTGGGACTTCTCTCCTGGGACCTTTCTGCAGGTCGGGTCCCTGCTGCACCTGGACGCAGCTGCCGCGTGCAGGAGCCACCCTGTGACAGGTGGGTGGGCTTGTGAGGGTGGCGGCAGCGAGCCCGGGCAGGTGTGTGTGCGCGCAGCCCCGGGCTTGCTGTCCCTATCGAGGGACTCCTTGGAGCCCAGCCCAGGAGGCAGCCTCTTGAACTCGTCAGGGACTTTTGCAGAGGGAGCTGTCTTGGTGTTTGGGGGCTGGGTACTGATCCCATGGCTTCTCCAGCTACAGGCCCCATCCGGCTGCCTCTGATCACGTCACTTTGCTCCTCATGGAAGTTGCTGGCTTTGAAAGATGGGGACACTTTGGGTTTCATGCAGCACATCTCCTGGGCTCATAGCAGGAGCCTTGCTGAGGGGTGGCTGGAAGGTAGAGCTGGCCAGAAGCCTGGGTCAGCTCAGCCACCTGGGCCTGACAGCTCCACACACAGAGGGGGCTGGCCACCAGCGCCTGCTCCAGGGAGATCCCTGCTCAGTCTGGCTGTCGGGCCAGCAGGAGTGAGGGAGGAACGGGCAGCTCACCACCTACTCTGGGCTCTCAGAAACGAGCCCCTGATGCAACATGGGCGACCTGACAACTCGTGCCGGTATGCGGGTATGTCTCGTCCTGACACTGCCCCGCCGCCTGCTTCTCCTCGCTCTGCAGGAGTCCCCAGAGCTGGCCAGGGCATGAACCGCGAGGGGGCCCCCGGGAAGAGTCCGGAGGAGATGTACATTCAGCAGAAGGTCCGAGTGCTGCTCATGCTGAGGAAGATGGGCTCCAACGTGAGTGCCTTCGGGGCATCGAGCAGCAGGCCTCCCAGGGAGGGTGCCTGATGCAGGCGGGCAGAGGGGCTGTAACCACCTTCTGTAGCAGCTGTGGTCTGGGGAAGGGGATGCCAGGCCTCTGGCTTGGCTGTGGCTAATTCAGCCTCCCGGGCACAGGCACCAGCATGTCCAGTTCGGCAGGCCCTGCTGGGGCAGTCTTCCCACTCCCTGTGCCATGTTTGGGCCAAGTGGGTGAGGGTCTTAAAGGCCCTGACCTTCCTTTCCTCCCCTCTCCCGGGAGTCTTCTCTTCCGGTGGTGACTGGGGGGCAGGACAGCCACCAAGAGGGCAGCAGATGTGCAGTGGCCCTTCTCAACAGGAGAGGGAGGGGCTCCCCAAGCAGGGCCTGCCCTACGCTGGAATCCCCATTCCCGATCTGATCCCAGTGCCAAGGCCTGTGGGCCCCATGGACCAAGTTTCAGGGGTGGGAACAGAGGGGAGAGGGTGCTCACCCTGGAACTAGAAGGTCAGTTCTCAACAACAGAGGCCCAGGGAGCGGGTGCGGGCCACCCTTCACCCAGCACTCTCGCCCCTGCAGCTGACGGCCAGCGAGGAGGAGTTCCTGCGCACCTATGCGGGGGTGGTCAACAGCCAGCTCAGCCAGCTGCCCCAGCACTCCATCGACCAGGGTGAGTCCATCGACCAGGGTGAGTCGAGGGCCCGTGTGGCCAGCGACAGCAAGTTGTGGTTCCTTTAGAAAGCGTAGCTCCAGCCCTTCCAGATGGGTGGTCCATGAGAGAGATTTTGGGGCGGCAGCTCCCTTACCCACAGAGCTGAGCCCTGGGTGGCGGCAGCGTCTAGACATGGAGCCTGCGGAGCCTCCAGAGCCTCCAGGCCGGTCCCTTCTCCTTCCCCAGCTGGGAGCCAAGGACCCAATCAGGTAATGGGGGGATCCCTTTCTAGGCCTGGGGGAGGAAGAGAAAGAAATGGAGGTGTCTGGGGGCCCCATAGCTGCAGAGGCTCTGGTGGTTGCATTTCTTCAGCCTTTGCCTGCCCCCTGCCCCCCTCCCCCCCAGTACCCTGTTCAGGGACAAGGAAACCACCCTTGTGTGCAGGGGCCTGCTCTAGGGGCGGGCTGCACGGTGGCTGCTGTGTTCCTGGCTGTGCCCAGGAAGGTGGCCCCAGTGGTTCTGGAGGTCTCCGTGTGCCCAAGGGAGTTATTTCTCTTTTGAGTACCCGCAGCCAGTTGTAATGATGGTAGTGGGTAACACTGAGTGTTTATTGTCTACAGGCTCGAGCTGCCAGCTGTATTACTTCTACTTAGCAGGCAAGGAAACGGGGGTTCCGAAGCAATAAGCCACTGCAGCCAGTTGCTGGGGGGCCCAGGATTCAAACCTGCAGCCCGATTGCAGAGCTGGGTTTGTCTCTGTCTGTCCTGGAGCCTCAGGAAGCTGCTGGGCACTTAATGGGCTCTCCCTTTCTGGAAGCCTTATCCTGACCCTGTAGCCCAGGACCCTGACCACCAATTTCCAATTGCTTGGAATTCTTGGCTGTTGAATCGTGCAGCCGGTGACCTGTCTGGTGTGAGCGGGCTCCCAGGAGCAGAGTGCTGATGGGCGTGTTTGCTGATCCCTGAAGCTGGGGAGGTGAGCAGACCTGGCACACGGGACTGCTTTTCCTGAGGCTGCCCTTGTTCTCCTGGATGTCACACGCAGGGCTCTGCCCTGGCGCAGGACCCGGTTCCCGAGCTTTGACGCTGGGTGTGACCCAGCCTGTGCGCCCAAGTCAGCAGAAATGTACAGGGTATTCCCGTGGCCCCAGCAGCTCCCGGGGACAGCCGCTCACCTGGGCCACCCTCGTGCCGCAGCCTGTCTGCGCCAGCTGTGCTGTCAGCCACCACTGGGGAGGAGATAAGGGGTGTGGAGTCTGTCCCCGACCCCTTCCTGGGATATTTCTTCTGGGAGAGGTCTTTTCTCCTCCAGGGCTGATCTGGGTTTTAGCGTGGGTCCCTCTCCCGTGCTCCCCAACCACATTCACTTGAAACCCTCAGGCTTCTGAGTCCCTGGGGCATCACCTTTTCTCCCAGCCTGGTCCTGGGTCACTGGGTTAACCTGAATTTGAGCTGCAGGGGTAAGAATGCCTCTAAGTAGAAAGCTGTTAATGGGAAAAAAATCAAAAGAAGCTATAGAACTGTATGTCAGTATAGAAAACACCACCACATACACTCCCCACCCCCCACCCATATTCACCCATGCACGAATGTATGTGTATAGAGCAAAAGAAGCTGAAAGAATATTTACCAGGTTGTTTATAGAAAATTTTGATGGAGGGTGGAACCACATAAGGGACTTTGACTTTCCAAGTCACACATTTTTTTGTAAAACTAATTTTTTTTAACATTGTGCATACATTTCTTTTACAGTAAGGGAAGTTTTTTTTTAGATTCTGAGTGGCTTTTTTGGTTTCCTATTTTTCTTTTTATTTTTTTTTAATTGAAGTCTAGTTGATTTACAATGTTGTGTTAATTTCTGCGGTACAGCAAAGTGATTTAGTTTTACACATATATACATTATTTTTTAAAATATTCTTTTCCATTATGGTTTCTCATAAGATATTGAATATAGTTCTCTGTGCTATACTGTAGGACCTTGTTGTTTAAAGGGGAAGTTTTAAAAAGTGTTTTTAAGAGAACTCTTTTTGTCTTGCTCAGCTAAACCAACAACTGAAAATAAAAATGAGCTCTGCTGAGTTATTTAAGGCAGTCACGGTGACCTCACCTGGCCTGAAACTGCTGAGCAGTCAGGAGTGAGCCGTGGGCATGTGGGTGTGATTTCGTGGCCCTGGAATCCGGGCCCTCCTGGGTGTGGGGCGTCCACAGACAGACAGGCTGGCCTTGGGTACTTCTCTCCGGGAAGCAGGCTCCTGGGAGTGAACCTGGAGCCGGGTGAGAATCTCTGGGGAGATGGTTCTCTGCTGCTGGGCTGCCCTTCAGTCTGCCCCTCGCCCCACAGTCACCTCCAGCGACAAGCCTCACAGGCTTACTGTATTTTCTTCGTGCCAACAAAACAGCAAGCAGTCCAGTCTCTCCCACTATGGAGGTTCAAGCCTGAGAGCAGGACCCTACATTTCTGCCCACACCATGGGGCCAAATGGGGCTTTGATAAAATTCCAGCCTGCCCACCTTCCCCGTTGGCAGAGCCGACCTCAGCTGATGCCACAGGGCATGTTGCTGTCAGAGTCTCAGGTGCCACCCAGGTGGCAAGAGCCCTGGATCATTGCTTCCAGTGCTCAGGACCCCAGCAGGAAAGGCCCAGAAAGACCTAGGAGCATTCGGGGTGATGGGCGGGACCATCCCATAGAAGCCTGGTGTGAGCGCCTCCTGCCACTAGGCGGCACTGTCTCTCAGCAAATGCTTGTGCGCTGCTCCGCCGGCTCCCGCAACTCTGACCTATGCTGTTCCAGCTGTCCTCAGTAGGGGGCCTGAGGCCGCCCCACCAATGGGTCAGCGCTTGGCCATTCGTCCCGGGGTCCTGCCCACTACCTTGGACCCGCACACGCTTCCCCTCTGGGGCTGGAGGGGTCTGGTACCGGGAGCACTGCTTGCCCTCCCCAGACCCAGGTAGGAGAGCAGCAAGCTGGGCATCCCTCAGCCCACGCCTCCCGGCTACCCCCCATCCCATTCTTCCCTCGGTGAACACGTGTTCAGTATCTGCTGGGTCCAGGTAGGTGCTGGACACCCTGGTGCACAGGCCTGCACCATAGCGCCTCACCAAATGCTTCCAGGAGAGGGCCCCAGAGGCCCCCCAGTACTGCACTGGACAGTGGGTAGACCTGCCTGGGCTGTGCTGTTCCAAGACCACCCTCGAAAGCCTCCTTCTGGAAGCTCTCCTTTCCCTCCCTTGTCTTCCATGAGACCCCCCTCTCTCTCTCCCACCTCCCCCATTTTCTGCTTCTCTCTGCTCACTG